ACACAAGTGGGTAGAACTCTTGACCCCAGCAGTGATAGCTCACCGGATGTCCATTGTGTAATTACTATTCTTTGAATGATATTGTTATGTACCAGTTACAACTGCTGCTCAATAAACCGTGTTTGTGTTTACATTCAAGTTGGTATTTCTGCTATCCAAAGTGTGCAGTGAGGCCGTCTTATTGTTGATAGTCATTTTGGAGACATAAATGCGAAGTTTCCTTAATGCGAACAAAAACCACTCACATTTTCGCATTTAATTCACACTCTCGTTAATTTCAAGATTTACAGTAATTGCCTTGTAACTTATAAACAAATTTCAAAAACAATTTCATTTCACTCAAGTTTGAAGAAAGTTTGTTCACTAACCCTCGAGCTCTGAAATTATTTTTTTTCTTGTGTATGACTTTACGAAGCACCCATTTGCTGTATATGTCCTGTATATATGCTTATCACAAATTATGGTTATAACAAACTAAAATGAGTGGTCCCTTTGAGTATATTATAACTGTTGACTCTAATTTCAATTACTGTATAAAATTTGGATGCTCAATCAATATAATGAGGTACCATAGGCCAGAAGTCATGCTGGACAAGGAAAAATGGCTCAAAGACAACTTTACCTTCAATAACCGAAAGGAGTTGCTAGTTTTCTACATTTTTAATCTTCTAAACTTTATATTTGCTTCTATATCTTCATTGGTTCCATAGAATATAACAATACCATACATACTGAATCAAATTACAAATATTGTGGAGTTTTCAAGATGTAAATATGATTATATTATTATGGATATTAGGGCTGGGACGGGTAACTCGGGTACCTGGGTCAGGTGGGTACTGAGTAGGACCCGGGTACCCACAAGACTACCCGGACCCGTGGTTAGTCACGTGATATATTGTTTAATTACAAACATTATCAAGAACTCTATGGTTACACTACAAATCACTAATGTTCGCATTTCTTATATGGTTGAATAAAGATATAACTTAATTCAACTTCAGTGTATGAATGACCAGATTGTTTAATACATGTATCTAAATACGTTTTGCCAGGTCTATCCTAAAAATGTTCCCAATCGGACATTTAGAGACATCTCCTGAGACCTACAGTGGGTACCCGGGTAGGGTCGGGTAATAGGGGGGTGGGTACCCGGGTAGTAAATTTGGACTCGTCCCAGCCCTATTATGAATAACATAATATTTTGTACATGATCATATTCATTCACATTCTGTTATTGTACAGTTGTACAGTTGTACTGTTTTATGGTTGTATGGTTGTATGATTGTACAGTTGTACAGACCAGCAGAAGCACAAGCGCCCTCTGAAATACTTGTTATGTGCCTTTAGGGAGAGTGGGTGGCCAAGTCATCTGAGGTGATGCAATTCGCAATTACAGAGTTGCTCCCCTTAGGTATGCAGAATCCTATGATCATGGGTTCGAATCCCAGATTCAGCCTGATTATGTTAAAAGGTTTGTCAGAACCAACCCTTGCTTGTGGGTTTCATGTATGCATTACAGGTTTTTCTCACACATTAAAATGACACACAGTGACATATATACTGTAAATCTTGAAATTAACGCGAGCATAAATTAAATGCGAAAAGTGCAAGTGGTCTTTGCTCGCATTATTAAACATCACATTTATATCAACAATAAGACATTTTGGATAGGAGAAATACCAACTAAGACATATGCTGAAAACATATACAGCTATGTATTCCACAAAACTGATTTCTTTAGCAGCACTTGTAGTATGTATATTAACATTGTCATTCAAACACTAATTACATCCTGTGAATTGTCACTGCTGGGGTCAAGACAAGTGTTCTACTCACTTATGTCATCAGTGATCACACCTACAAGTCCAGACAGACGCCAACCACACAACACTGCGCCTTTGTTCCTTGCAACTGCGTCAAAGGCCGACACGAGCCAGCGCCCATGTATTGTTTTAGCGGGAGTACTTTACTCAGCGCTAATAAGCGGTGCTATTTGGTGTGTGATTGGATTAATGTAAGGATGGATTACGGTGTGGATTCTTCTGTAAACCGGACAGAGGACATTTTCTTTATACATAAATCCACTGATGCTTGAGAGGAGGTGGGTGTCGCCTTCATATTGAGTCGCATTTTTGGCTAGGGGCCAGTGGTCGCATTCTTTTGGAGACGCATTAGTTTCACGATTTACAGTATTGTTTAAAGAGGCATTACATCTCACTCGCTCACTTGCTCACTCACTCACTCACTCTATACAATGAAACAGTACTTAATGAACTATACAGTGGCACCGACTCCCGTTTTCTGATCACATCAAGCACCTACACCTTGGCGTCAGTTCTCACACCAAACTATTTGCATACACTCACTCACTCACTCCAACACCCAAATCACTCACTCACTCACTCACTCACTCACATAATGGTGTGATACCAACACGTTTTTCAATCAATCTGGTCCATTCTTGGTGACCCCGCCTTCACATCTCCTGATGACGGTACTACTAAAAGCATCCCCATCTCGAAATGATCCAAGATACAGACGGTATAGTACTGTATGTAATTGTTGGGAAGAAACTTGTCTAGCTGGCTGATCTACAAGTCCTGGGCTATTATCAAACAATAATTGAAGGCAGTAGCTGTGGGAGGAACATGGCCATCTTCTTACTTTCATTAATGGTGTGTCTCTGCTGTCGTCAATAACGTTCCATTGCGGAACAATTTGTCCCCAGACTAGTCCTAACACTGGATGGACAGCAGATGGGTTTGAAGTGGGTTAATCCGTCAACCCTTATTCACGATTTGACGATCTTGTCTATGTCTCTGTCATGGCTATCATTGTTCAGTAGGACGAGCTACTTCATCACAAGCAAATAAAAAATGAAATACTACGAAAAAACATAAAATGCCTTTCATCTTTAAAAAATTCATTTTTGGATTCTATTTGATCGTATTGAAAAACATGCAAATTATGTTTTGATAGCGTTCAATATTTAAAGGGAATATTTTTTATTATCGAACCACCGACCTTCCGGATAGAAACTCAATAAAAAAACACTGATATGGAATGCTGGTGTAGAAGGTTGGTTAAAGGTGCTGAATACTGGAAATACGGTACATTGACAACAGCATCGGAAATTACTATTACATGCATGCTTTGTATAGATTATATTTACTGGCTTGTCTTAGAAGCATTATATGATAGATAATAAATGGCAACATATTATTCCATTTCCTATATCATATTGTCTTACTGAAGAAATATGACTTTTTCTCATTACAAGTATTTAAATATTGTAATACCCATTAGGGCTGGGACGAGTCTGAGTTTACTACCCAGGTACCCACCCCCCTATTACCCGACCCTACCCGGGTCGCATTCTTTTGAAGACGCATTAGTTTCACGATTTACAGTAATGTTTAAAGAGGCATTACATCTCACTCGCTCACTCACTCACTCACTCACTCACTCACTCACTCACTCACTCACTCACTCACTCACTCACTCACCCACCCACCCACCCACTCATTCACTCTCTTAAAGGATTAATGTAACAATTTTCCCACTTTTCAAATGTTTATTTTATTGGTAAGACTATTTTGTTTAAACACAAATTTCAGTGTATGGAAAAAAAAAAATCAATTATGTCCCTTAGATATGGCAGGATCCTATAATCCTGATTTGAATCCAAATTTCGCTTTTATTAAAATCCTGCTTGCTGTTTTCACTAAAATGGTAAATGTCAGTATCAGCATCACTTTGGGCTTATCCCATATTAACCTGACACATTGTTATAGGATATGATTAAATCATTGTACGAAGCAGCATTAAATAAGTCACCACTCACATTACCTATCAATAACAAGGAACCGTATTCGACGTAATAATAACGACATAATACGTATGTTATATGCATTCATAATTATGGGAAATTAAATTCTGGAAAAAATATATCTGTCGTATATAAACATTTGAGGCTGTCAGCATAAACCACGAAATTTACGATCTTTCAACTCTGTTGTTTTTCACCAAAATAATATTCTAATAAGAGCCCCCTATTTCTAATTTTGAGAGCGCCCTGGGCGCTTATTATGTCGAATACGGTAATCGTGGTCTTAGATACATATCAGGCACATTTAACTACCACGTGGGTTCAACATAATAAATATGAGGTATTCTGAACTATCAACACAAGATCAGAGGAAGTAGGGCTATTTCAAGTACTGCCACAAATCATGGCATCAAGCACTTGACCATTGTGTCAGGCAATATATTTCTCATTTATTTCACAAGGAAGTCGTAATCACTACGCATGTCTTGAATGTTACCGAAATAAACCAGATTACAAACACAGCAGGAAATGGATTTCTGTTGAAAATAACCACAGTGAAATTGTTTAAAATATAATCCCCAGCTTAAAAAATTAACTGAATCAAGAAGACAACTCTGAATGTAAATGAAAACATAAAATGGTATAAAAATTGCATGATTTGGTTAGCATTATAACAGAACGATATTTCAGTACTATTTATTCCCTTGACACAAAAGTAGTTATTGAAGCTCTTATCCAGTGACAGTTATGGTAATATTATGATAAGAGAATTACAAATGTACACTTATATTTGAATGATATTAAAGTCATATTTTTCAAAATATAATTTGATGAGCTAAGTTTAGCATTATAATGTTATTAATTACTTATCATTTTATCAAACACAGTATTACTTTCTATATCATTATTTCAACACATGACATATGAGATATGATTTTGAAATACATTGATCATACAGATGCAGAACAAATGGTCATTAGGACACATATTTGCAGCTAAAACTCACACAAATCAATGTATTAATTTCCATTTCATAAAAAATGAAAAACATTGGACCCACAATTCCCTTTTCAGCTAAAACGCACACAAATCATTCTTAACTTTCCATTTCATCAAAAATGAAAATATTAAATATAGGATCATAAACCTAAATAGAAAACTCACATACCTGTGACCATCTGGCAATAGACGGACGGAATGTCGGAATTACTACAAACAGGATCGTCAGGTACTTAAGTCCACGCTATTGATTCGGGTAGCTTTCCCCGACCAAAGCTTGATCACAAACTTCGCACAATGTCAGCCCTTCTGGTACAACAGTTCATTAAACAGCCAAGCTAAATCCGCATTTTGTATATTCCTTTGTCACTGAGAACTGTAGTGATGAGTCTATTCCCAACAACCTATTACGGCATAATGTCTGTAGAACTGTCCACACGTGACACACAAAGTCTGAATATCAACAACGCATGGTTCCACCTGAAGCCAAGTCACAACTACTGTCAGTGGGCTACGTGGTGTTGATGATAGCCGCGCATGCTGTCAGAGTGATAAGCGTGGATGTCGACTCCCTCTCATTGATAGCTTGCATTAAGGAAGAGCACACTTGCTAAGACCAGTGGAGAGTGTCTATCAGCCTCATAAATTGTCAATCTGTTGGACTGAGTCATAAGTTTAGATATCTGGGCAAATTAATTGTTGTTAATCCCCTTGTTGGGCAAACTACCTCCTAATCTTTTAATCTACCTGGGGGTGGTTAGCAAGGGTCACTCTGGAAACAGCTCACAGTCTGGTTAAGTTTTCATGCTGGCAAATACTTATATGATTTTTTCATAAATATATTTAATAAAATAAATAATACCTTTATGATAGGTTTTATAATTTATTTGTTGCTTAAAATTATATTTGGTAAACATTTCTTGAAATATGTAATAGGTGATGATATATATAGTTAAAGTGGTGTATGCTTCATGTACATCAACTCTTAATTTTTTTAAATCTATTTGTGATGTTTAAGCATCCCTGAACAGGTATTTTTTTTATATTGGATATTTATTTAGACATTGTGTTTCTTACTTGTAGTTCGACCTATTGGTATGAGACATATTGAGCTGTATAAAATACTTACAGCTACAGATTAATTTTATGTACATGTATAACTGTACATAATTGTACATATTAACAAGAATATGTTTATATAAATTCATCAACTGAAATCTGTTTTTCCAGGTACGGTATTTATATTTACCAATCATATTTTTATTTACCAATCCGGATTTCATTCATAAAATAAAAGTACATTTAAAACAAACAAAAATGTAAGACATGTAAAATCTTATCAGGATTAATTTTTGACGAACCGATTAAAACATATTTTCAAACAAATACAGTATTTTTGTATTTTACTTTTCAAAACTTTAATGTGGACTCTTCTATGCAAAATATGATATATATATCTTTTATCTGGCCTTCAAGTTTTGTGATAACCACCCCTTGGCTTTGCAGGCTAAAATTTCAGCTCCCAAAATGACAAATTGTAAAGTTTTTCTCAACTCATTATTATATATTAAGTAGGATATTTAAGATATGTTACACTATTCAGATATTTTGTCAGGTGGGGTGAGGTGAAATGGGGTTTAACGTCGCGTCCAAGATTATTGCACTTATATAGCGACATGCATGCACGTGTATGTGTGTGTATGTGGCTGCTTGTACTAGTTTGGACTGATGCCGATTTATAGTGCTAGCTCACTGAGATACCATGCCGCAGTTTAACATGAATACCCCACTCAGACACAGTATACTGACTCCGAGCCGACCAGTCCTTGTTTTAGCCCCTTAATGCCGAGCGCCAGACAGGGTAACAACAAGTACCATCTTTTAACGTCTTTTGGTCGGGGATCGAACCCTGGACCTTCTGCTCTCCGGGCGGACACTCTACCATTAGACCACGGAGGCGGTCTATTTTGTCAGGATTTGGAAAGCATAACCTGGACATTCCTCAGTTCTCATGTGGCTAATTATGTTTGTAATGGTCTATAAGTGACTATATATGATATAACTCACTCATAATACAGTAATGACTTCGTTATATAAGTGACAATATATATATATATATATATATCAATACGTTTATGTAAGTTAAAGGGCTGACAGGTAACTCCGTTACAACAGGACTACCCAAACCCGTGGTTAGTCATGTGATATTTTGTTTAATGGCAGAAATTATCTAGAAATCTATAGTTACACTAGTCTCATGTTTGCATTTCTTTCTGACCATGCACCCATTCTTTACAGTATATGTCTGAATAAAGATAAAACTTTAGTCAACTTAAGTGTATGCATGACCAGATCGTTTTATATGTGTATGCCAGTGGTATGGTCAAACTAGTCCCAATCGGACATGTTGTACCTATATCTTGAGACCTATTGAGGGTACCTGGGTAGGGTCGGTAAAAGGGGGTGGGTGAATTTGGACTCGTCCCAACCCTAGCAAGTTAGTCCCAGAGGAATTCTGCAGTCAAATTCTTAAAATTCTGAGGTAAATTCTGCGGTATCATGTGGATCATGGTCAATAAATGTTGCCCTGGCATACCTCTAGTCTCTACTTTGCCAACAACATTTTCTGCCATTTTGAATCGGATGTAGTCTGTCTTACAGACCCTGATACAAATATACCAGCCCATGCAAGTCTATAATGTTTGGCAAGTCTAGATTACTGCAGTGTCTGAAAATGAAGAGAGTCTGGGCTCCTTTTTATTATATTCAGATTAAGACAATTGATCAACTGTTTTTTGTCTGTACGATATGTTCATTTCAGAAACTGGATGTTATTCTAAATCGGAGGCAAAACCTTGATTTGTCTGTTAACATGGAGTAACACCATTGGCGCACACCCCCTCCCTGGTGTTGCCTACTCCACCCCAATCTTTGCGGCCTATGGTAAACTGGTAGGGTCATATCCTTTACAGGACTCCTTACTTTCAGACGGGCTACATAGAGCCGGTTTTTAACGGTTGATTCTGAGATTCGCCTTCCTGTTATTGTACAGAATTCTTTATTGATGACTGTGAGGAGCAGATTTGAATCTATTGCAGGGTGTCATGAGGCGATCGTTTTTTAGGCCTGCCACGCCCAGGGTCCACTTGCACAAAGCAATCTTAGCGATAAGATGATCGTAACTCCCATACTTTAAGATAGGCTTACAATAGTCTTGGCGCTAAGATCGCTTTGTGCAAGTGGGCCCAGGTTTCATTAAAATCCCTTCCGTTAGACGGTACCTCTATCCCACAGTCCAGAAATTACACTTTTTTATTTGCCAAACAATCGGGTAACTTCATGCCCCTGCCCGCCCCCCCCCCCCCCCCCCACACACACACACACACACCTCATCCCCACTATCGTAAAATTTTGTCGGCAATTGAGATACTGTCTTGGAGACATTATTAAGCTTATGCTTAGCTCGATTGCATCAGTGATTGTGAGTCCCCTATAGGTGCACACACTTTGGCTTCTGTGTGCATGTGCATCACGCTGCATGATGTAAATATTTTGTTCGGATGCAATTACTGCATTTTAAGTGTCCACTTCAATGGTAGCCAAATTTGAATCATTAGGTACTTCATATTTTGTTGATAGTATAAAAGTGACTGTAGATCATCACTTTGTTATAGGAATGTTATAAATATGGTAATCACTACATTATACAAATAACTATACAGTCATCACTGTTATATAAGTGACTATACAGTCATCACTATGTTGTATAAGTGACTATACAGTCATCACTGTTATATAAGTGACTATACAGTCATCACTATGTTGTATAAGTGACTATACAGTCATCACTGTTATATAAGTGACTATACAGTCATCACTATGTTATATAAGTGACTATACAGTCATCACTGTTATATAAGTGACTATACAGTCATCACTATGTTATATAAATGACTATATCGTCATCAATATGTTGTATAAGTGATTGTACAGTCATCACTATGTTATATAAGTGACTACATTCATAACTATGTTATATAAGTGACTATACATGTAGTCATCACTATGTTATAAAAGTGACTATACAGTCATCACTATGCTATATAAGTGACTATACATGTAGTCATCACTATGTTATATAAGTGATTTTAAGTCATTTCTATGTTGTATAAATGACTATACAGTCATCAATATGTTGTATAAGTGATTATACACTCATCACTATGTTATATAAGTGACTACATTCATCACTATGTTATATAAGTGACTATACATGTAGTCATCACTATGTTATAAAAGTGACTATACAGTCATCAATATGTTATATAAGTGATTATACATTCATCACTATGTTGTATAAGTGATTATACATTCATCACTATGTTGTATAAGTGATTATACAGTCATCAATATGTTATATAAGTGACTATACAATCATCACTATGTTGTATAAGTGATTATACAGTCATCACTATGTTATATAAGTGATTATACAGTCATCACTATGTTGTATAAGTGACTATACAGTCATCACTCATAACGTTGTATAAATGACTACAGATATAGTGATAAGTAAGTTATATATCCTGGTAAGTGACCATTGTGACAGACATCACTGTTATATATTTGACCAAGGTATAAAATAATATTTGATGCTCAATAACATTTTGACCTCTGTTCAATTATTGATAAACACTTTTACCTTCAATATCTTTTCCGTGACAGATAAATACTGGCATAAATTTATTTACATTTTACAACTGTAACTTGTAATCAGGTAGACATATTTCATCCTTGTTTGTTTCATGTGAAATACTTTCCTTGATCTGTTTTGATAAAATCATAAAGCTAAATTCTTTAAGAACACACAGGTGTCCCAGTCGTCTAAGACCCGGTTCCCCATGATTATGTGTCTAGGTCTGTCAGCACCATACCCGTGCTCGTGGGCTTCACCGAAGTGGTAAACGTCTGAGACCTGCATCACTTCGGGCTTTCCTCCAACATAAAGCTGACATGCCGTGACATAACTGGAATACTGTTCAAAGCGGCTTTAAACCCAACTCACTCACTCTAAGAACATACAGATCGTATCTCATGCAACATAAACATGCAATCTAAACAGATGGAAATGGCTGAGGTAGTAATAAGGCCTGTGCATAGTGATAACACTGCCGTACATAGTGATAACACTGCCGTGCATAGTGATAACACTGCCGTGCATAGTGATAACACTGCCTTGCATAGTGATAACACTGCCGTGCATAGTGATAACACGGCCGTGCATAGTGATAACACTGCCGTGCATAGTGATAACACTGCCTTGCATAGTGATAACACTGCCGTGCATAGTGATAACACTGCCGTGCATAGTGATAACACTGCCGTGCATAGTGATAACACTGCAGTACATAGTGATAACACTGCCGTGCATTGTGATAACACTGCCGTGCATAGTGATAACACTGCCGTGCATTGTGATAACACTGCAGTGCATAGTGATAACACTG